GTACATTTCTTTCTTAAAATAACGTATATAGTCATGTTGATATTAATATTAATAATATTAAGATCTATTAATTGATAGAATTGTGATTTTTTTTCTCACCCTCCCCCAACTTCAGGGATCTGTGCAGCTGCCCACTGTTTATGCTGAAAGCTGATGTTGAGATGATCAGTTTTCAGGAGTGATTCTTCAGACAGGCAAAAGGGCAACCTTAAAGGCAAGGTGCATGGAAACAAGAGAAGTGCTCTTTGCACAAAGCTCTCTCCTGCAAATTTTCAATCTGTATCCCAAAAAATATAACATAGGGAAAAAATTGTGTCTTCTGGAATGTATAACAGGATGATTAAAAAGGAAAATTTCAGAAAGGCTCTCTGTCACTTTGAAATTGTATGGATTTTCAGAGTTGCTATTTTGTTCTTTTTTTAAAATCTTCAGATTCTTACCAGAAATCTTTCTGAGAAAGGGAATGAGATAATTTGAGCTATTTGGCAAAGACATATTATTAAATTATTCTGCTCTAGCCATTTGCATTATCTCATCTAATGTTTGTTGATCTCTTTTAACCTCACACCCAAAATTCACCTAAGAATACTCTGCAAAATATGAGCTAGTTTTATTGATGTGGTGGAAAAACAGACTGGTCATCCAGTTCTGCTATGCATTTCTCTGTTTTATACTATATGTTTATTAATCATTATCCATACATGTGTCTCTTTGAGCAATTGACAGGTATTTGCTACTCCTGTTAGTAGACTTTCAGATGGTCACTTCTCTACTAGAATAACCAAATTAGGTATTCAGTTGTGTGTATCTTTGCTTCATCAGTGTTTTTAATAGGAGTGGCCCAAATAACTTATTTTGAACAATAAATTTCTATGTTTCTGAAAATTACCCTTAGATTCTCCTGAATGACCTTTGCCATTTATCAAATAGTTCAGAATTTTTTTGTCAAGATGTCAACAGAGAATCTAAAGAAATTAATTTGAAGCAATGCTTCCATTTGCAATGTATACTTGTATTGGTTTGGGGGCGGGATAGAGTTAGGTTTCTTCACAGTAGCCAGCATGAGGCTGTGATTTGGATTTGTATTGATAATACAGAGATGTTTTCCTTACTGCTGAGCAGAGCCTACACAGAGACAAGGCCTTTTCTGCTTCTCACACCACCCCAGCAGGCAAGGCTTGGGGGAAGACCTTGGGGGTCCACAAGGAATTGGGAAAGGTCCAAGCCAGGATAGCTGATCTGATCTGTCCCAAGGGATGTCCCAGACCGTATGTCATCATGCTTAGCACATAAGGAAGGAGGAAGGGAGGGATGTTTGGAGTGATGGTGCTCGTTTTCCCAAGTCACCATTTGAATGTATCAGAGCCCAACTCTCCTAGGGATGGCTGAACACCTGCTGCCCATGGGAAGTCCTGAATGAATTTCCCCTCTTGCTTTGCTTACATGCCTGACTTTTGCTCTACTATTAAAATCCACCCACAAGACTTCTCATTTTCACCCTCCTGATTGTCTCCTGCATCCCACCAGGGCAGAGTGGTGGGGTGGGGCTGAGCTGGGGTTAGACCATGACAACCATAGAGGTGCCCCCAAACTGGAACTGGATAATCCTGGTACCTATTGTTCACATGCCTGTGGAATTTATTTGTCATGTGAAGCCTTGGAAGCTGTTCATATTTATGCCAAGTTTTGCTAGAGCCAGCAAAGTTTCTGGATGCTCTTGTTTCCATCCAAGCTGCCACTTTGCAGAGATAAACAGGAAACACACATATGTGTTCTCAAGGATCTGCTGTATGTGAGATGTAAGCTATGTCCCCTTTTCTGGTGTGTGAACATCCCTCATGAAATATAACACTTTATCAGGTTTTATTTTGTTTGATTGGGTTTTCAGAGAAGTTGAGGAGGGAAGCATCTTCCCTGCATTTTCTCAGTCATCAGCTTTTTCTTAAAAAGCTTTATCCTTATTAGAACTAAAGCTTCTTTATTCCTTCACAGCTCTACAGAGGTTTCTTAACATACAAGACAGTCCTATTTTCAATTTATTATTGTTCCTCTGCCATCTGGGATTGATTTTTCTCTTATTTTATACTTTTTTCTCTTCCATGCAAAATAATTTTTCAGCATCAGGGGAGCAATATAGCCAAATACTTTGCTGGTGGGTAATTTCAAGCATAGCATAAGGCCTTTTTGCTGAGCTTGTATATACCATATTTTTAAAATTCTCCTTTATTTCTTTCACAATCTTCCATAGTGTTATTTCAGTACACCTCTTGTTTCAAGAGTACTTATTTGGTTAATAATGGTTTCTTTCTAGTCCTATTTATTATCCTTAGTGAGACCCTGATTCAGGAGTTTTCATAAATAAATATCAAACTTAAACCAAACTATACTGCTAAATCATTTCGATTTCACAAACTAGATATTTATGAATCAAGTCTGCAGTTTTATAATTTCTCATTTAGAAGCTGCCTTTGGTCATTTCATTTTTCACAATCTTCTAACCAGTTGCTACTGTGGGTATAAAATTTTGTTGCCTTTTCTTTCCTCTGTGCTTCTTTCCTCTGTGCTTCTTTCCTTTGTGTTTTCTTTTACTCCCTCTTCCAACTTAAAAAGAAAAATAAAAAATAAAAAAAAATCATCGATACATTTAAAAAATGTTTTGTATTTTTTTTATTAGCATCATACTTAGGATTATGAAGGTTCCAGGGTCCAATACAGAATAATGTCAAATACTTGCCTCTGTTCAATTTCCTTCAGCTGTGGATATTTGCACAATAACATTATTCTTTATCTAACATACTCTGATCTTACTGGATTCTTTTTTTTTCCCTCCTTGTTTCAAAAGATGGAGTCTTTGGGGCATATATGATCTATCCACTTCTAGTTGTCTTTAATAGCATAATTATAGACCTATGATTCATCTAGTTTTGGCACATTAATGAAGTGAACTGCCACATTAAGAAGAGTAGATATTGTTGGGCTATGTTCATTGTAGGTATCCTCCTACTAAAAATAATCTCTATGGGTTTTGATTAGTAAGTAAAAGATGGTTCAATTCAGAATTTATTTTTTTTTTTGTAACTGTAGAAAAAATACTGTATTACTTCCAATAAATGTACAGAATATTCATAAATATAGATAGTATCTCATAAAATCTGTAAAATGTATATGCATGTGTGTGCATGCAACTCCTGAAATAAATATGCTGAGTTTTGAATTGCTTGGTGGTTCAGCTCCAACATATTTCTTTATAGATGCAATATAAAATTTTCTAAATTTAAAAGTAAGCCTTAAAAAGCTCCTCCCTCACATGTAAAATATTCTGTCATTTGGGGAAAAAACAGTAAAATGCTTTTTTCAGTGCTGGGGTTTCTGCACTGCTTTCATTACAGACTTCTGAGAGACAATCCTACGTAATTGTCTATGAAGAGACTCAGTAGAAGCAATTCATTCACCAATAATGTCAGTAGTCAGGGTCTTTTAAAATAGATCCCGAAGCACCAGGGGAATAAATGCCGATATCTAATACCCTTTCATCCTACACTTATAAATCTGCTGTAACAAAAAGTGGAGGACTATCGAATTACTCGGTGGGTCAAATCCAGACCAACAAATTAATGCAAATTCTATCATTAAGCACATGACTACCAACTCTCAGGACCAGGACATTATAATAATTTTATTTGGAGTGGCAGGTTCAAATAACTTTCTTCAGTTACAAGATTTTTGTCCTCCAGTTCTGTTAATAATTTCCTTTCTCCTGTAACCAACTTGGTGATTTTCTAACCAAATGGGTGTAAAAACCCAAAAGTCAAAAAGATTCATTTTTTGAATACTTCTTATAAGCTCCACAGTGAAATTAACACTATTTACAAGTTAAAATTATTATCCAGTGACTAAAAAACAGGGCTTTATTATGGTCTGTATATAGCTTGGAAATGTTAAAACCCTTCAGACAGAGTTGTGCTACAGTATAAAAATCTCTATTACTGCAAAAATTATATACACTGGTTATACATAAGTTTAAAATAGAAATTAATTTCACATAACAGATTTTTTTCTAGAAAAGAAATGAGAAAAAAAAAATTTATAGGATTTAAATGATGAATAAATTATTTTATTGGTATCTTCAGAATCCTTAGATTAGTTAAAGCTCTTGTTAATTTATGGGCCAATAACTATTTTGAAATAAAAGAGGGAAAAGGAAAAGGAAAAGGAAAAGGAAAAGGAAAAGGAAAAGGAAAAGGAAAAGGAAAAGGAAAAGGAAAAGGAAAAGGAAAAGGAAAAGGAAAAGGAAAAGGAAAAAAAAGGAAAAGGAAAAGGAAAAGGAAAAGGAAAAGGAAAAGGAAAAAGAAAAATGTCCTTTGAGATAAAGACCAAAGAGAGAAATGAAACCATGGGGAGTAAACCAACAGTACCCAACAGTAATGTTTAGGAGTAAATATTATTATCTCAAGGAGAAAAGGGGAGCTAATGATTCTTCAGTTAAAGAAGATTTCTAAATGAGCAAAATCCTCTGGATGAGATGATAAGGAACCATATGATGGATTATTTAGTATCTAGGGAAACAATTAACCACTCTGTCCCCATAAAAGCATGTATGAGGGATTGAGACATGAAGGGTAAAAGGGTCTATTTCCCTTCCTCACACATCAGCTGTCATTAGGGGCTGCCATTGCATCCATTTACCCATATTTCACTTAAATGAGTGCACAAAGGTGAATAACACAAACAGCTGAACTGAGGCTGCAGTGCTCTTGGTAAACAACAAGTACACTGCAACTGGACAATATTTGTTTCTGCTTCTGAATAAATATTAAGTAGTGGCTCTGAGTTTGTGGGTTTTAGATTTTTGTTTCTTTTTTTCCTTTTTCAACTCAATCACCATTTCCTCTGCAAAACAGGTGAAGAAACTCTACTTAATAAGTGGGGAAAGTGATTGACACTAAGTAAGTGACTAAGCCAGTGCAATATAATGTGAGCTGTGCTGTAGCAAGAGACTGCCTCAAATGCAGTGTATCAGAGTGGCTTTGCTGGGTTTAGATGCTAAAAGGAATTTAAAAACTACTAGGAAAAAGCAGCCTAGGGGGTTTCTGTGGCTCTTACTGCTTCTTTCACTCTTCATCTCTTTGAAGAGAAGCAGACCAGCAAGGTGTGTTTGTTTCACCACCACACACCTGGAGCCATTCTCAGTCTTGCTTCCCTGCTCCCAGAGCTGCGTGTGAAGCAGCTGGGCAGACAGGGAAAAGGAGGAGCACTTCTCCCATCACCAGCCAGGGGTTTGCTCACACAACCTTTTTGTGTATCTCAGGAGTTGGGTTATGGAAAGGTAAGAGTGATAAAGAGTTTCCTGCTTTTGTAAAATATTGGCCATGAACATCTATAAAGATTCAGTTCTACATTTTATTTCAATTCTGAAATGATTGTATTTTTCTTCTGTCCCTCTATTACTTATTAGATCCAGAGTGGATTTATTTTTTGAGGTTAAAATAGCTTAGAAGCAGGTAGGATTTGCAATATGCCATTGGAACAGGTTCCTTGGTCATTCAGTATTGAGAGGCTGAAGCACTGATGCTCCTACTTGTTTTCTGAGCTATGAGCTCTTCTTTTTATCCAGTGTCTGTTAGAGCTTTTGTACAACCTCCTGCTGTACTTTGGAATACAATAGTTTCAGCTGAAACAAAATTACTCTGAAAATGAAAAAAAAAGGACCAGAGTTTAAATAAACAGGACAGAAGATTTTTATTCCACTGTAGGTGTTGCATGTTTAAACTAGTGCAATGTACTTAAAGAAGGATTCATAGGGACTCATTACTTTCCTTGATATTATAAAATAAATACATCTTTAAAATACTCAGATACTGAACAAGGAGAACCACCAGCTACCTTGAATGGACTGAAAATACCTGCCTAAATAATTCCTCAAATCCAACTAATATGAAAATATTCTTATTTGTTAGCAGGAGAAAGTGGAGACACCTGCTTCTACAACATCTACAAGTGTCTGAGAATTTCATTTCTTGGTCTCTCCAGCTGCAAGTTAAAGACAGCCCAGCAACCAGGGACATGACAAAATAGAAGCATTCAGGCTGTGTGGTGTTGAATAATGAGAGCAATTTAGATACATCTGGGATAACACCACATTTACTGCATTAGTGGAACATTTTCTCCCATGACATAATCTGTCAATGGTCTTCTATAACTGACAGAATAAAACTTCTTGTCAACTTTATTTTTGCATATACATATTTTCTCTAACTGGCTTTTCTTTTTTGTGAATTTATGCATTACATCAGAACTTGAACTCTTACTGTTCCCTTCTGAAAATTCAGACCTTTCACATGCATGTCATCTGTGCTCTTTCACCATGCACATTCAGAGAGCTCTTCCGTACATACCTCCACAACCTAGTTTGAGACCATCAGTGCTCCTCTGGCAGGAGAAATCCTCGTATATTTACATCTGCAAATCTCAGGTTATCTTACTACTGGAAGGAGATAAAAATATGTCATAGCTTTGCTTGCCTTGTACCCAGGCTGGCTGAAAGGCCAGGAACACATATCATGCCCCATGTGTTAAACCTGTGGCTACACTCTAAAGCAATGGCTGAAAGGAGTTAATACAAATCTGTTTGGAACCAGGGAGTCAAGATCTCCAGATCTGAAGAAAGGAATGGTCTTTGCAGTAAAGAAAGACTAGGAGAAGACTCTATCTGGGAACAGGCTGAGGAGTTCTATCTCTTCACAATCACTGAAGATCTGCCCTCAAGGTCCTCAAATCCTATGAGTTATTTGACAGAAATCACTGAAGAAAAGCTCCTCACATTCCTCCCTATGCTTCATCTTATGGCAATGGAAAAGCCTTGTAGATGACTATGAAAATAGCAATCTGGATAATTCATAAAAGCTCTTCTGCCCCTATCAATGATGCCTCACTGTAATGGCAGCATTGGCAATTCCAATGTTAATCACTTAGACAGGAATTTTTTTTAATGTCTTTCTCATACCTCTTCTTGACCCTTAGGACATGCGTGACCATTGTAATACATACAAAAGAGAGACTCAACTGGCAAAGATTAATATAAATATTAGCCAAAATAAGGATGTGCCAGTTAGTTCTTCTAGTAGCATCTCTGCAACACAACTGGTGTGAGACATGCCCTGAAAAAGAGCCTAAGATGCTGTGCATCAAGAAAATGCCATTGGGAAAGATCTGCAGCTGTGAGCAGTAATTGGCAAAGTGCTATCATCAAAGCCCACATGGTCACATATGCAGAGGGAGATTCATAGCACATCAAGTGTAAAATGAAAGCTGTGATATAGCAAACATGAAGCCAAAGAAATATTGGTCAATATGCTGAAGCTGCTGGCTGCAGCAGTCCCCAAACTGTGTGTAACTTTGAAAATAACAGGAGAAAACTGGAAGCACAACCCCCAAACAGTTGTTCTAGTTAGTGGAAAAAGCTGATGTAGAGAAATATTCCACAGAAATGAGGTGCAGATGCTGGATCATTATCAGTGACTAATATCACAGTGTCAGTGCTCTCACAAGCATGAAAGTGATATAGATCATCACTAATGCCTATGGATTTATTAAGTCACATGGTCAGTCTACATTCCTCCATCTCCATCAGGCAAAGGCTGTGGACACTAAACAATGAAAGAAGTGATGTCCTTCAGTCACAGTGAATGGATAAATGAAGAACACAGATCAGTAACATCACAGAGTATATTAGCGGATTAGTAGGCTAAGACACATGAAATATGTGCTGGTATAAAATATTAAACTAATTATGAAGAGTGGTTCTGCACAGCCAACACCAGATGCTTTGATTCTGACTACTAATCTGTTTGAAACACAAGGCTATGTCACATATAAGTGTGGTCCTGCACACTGGCAAGGTGCCCAGAGACTGTGAACCTGTGACGGAATGGCAAGAGTGAGAATTTCTCACTCTCTTTTAGTCTTGCTTTAAAGACAGATAGTTCCCTCCCTCTTAATTTATTCTGCTTCATGTTGAACAAAATTAAGGGTGTGTCCCTAAAAGAAAAGAGTTCTTCAAATTTTTGGAAAGAAAGAAAAATGTCATCAATATCAACCTGTCCACTGGCATCTCAAGCATCTTTCTCTCCATCAGCAGAGAGGGAACTAAGATATGGAACATGTGGAGATCCCTAAGTGACGACAGGTAGGACCCACTTTTCCTTTGTAACTCCTAAGTCAAGGAATGAGAAATAACTGTCTTGAAAATCTCTGCTTCAGTAATATGGAGTGAATTTTTCCAGCCTGCATATTCTCTTGGTCAGGGAATGAATACTTGGGAATTTTTGTATTTAGGAATAAATCAGCATGATGTGACTTTTGGAAACGCTGTACTACATTGTACTGCACAGAGAGAAAAAGAATCCAGTTACTTGAAAGTTCAAAAGCCTTGATTCATAATGGTTACTCCTTGGTGATATATCACACCATTCTATTTAAGGTTGTCTGGTCAAACCCAGTGAAATTTGCACGGTTTTGTAGGCAAAAGCCAGAATACGATTATTAATATCACCTAAATGATTTTAGATGCTCAGCTGTAGTGATAAGAGGTGAAGACTTCTCAAGTGATATATTCTTTTTACCTCTTGTTCCAGGACTACACTCTGCAGGAAATGATCCACCACTGCCCATAAATAAAGCAATAGTTTTAACTTCATAGACTCGAGTGAAAGCACAGTGAGAGCAATACTGGAGCATATTCCACAAAGGCTCGTGCTTTGATTAGATCTATCATCTATGATGATTAAAAAATATTGCATTGGTATTGGAATGCATCATCTTTCTTTCTTCTCTAACCCACTTTCCTCTTGGATATTTCTCCAATTTTTATATCTCAGTTTCCTCGCCTCCTGGAGCATACACATATAGAACTAAGACAGAAACCTGAATTTCTGTCTGTGATATTTTAACAGATGAAGTGGTGCATTTTAGTGCATTTAATGTCTTGAAATGCCTGGGGTTCACCCTTTTGCAGGTGACAGAATGGGGATTACACATCATATTTTGATGATTTACTTGAAAAGCAGTTTGGTTTTGTGTTTGGGTGAATGTCAACCTTTGTATCTCACCTTGATAGTTCTTTACGCTTGTGTGGCATGCAACCAAAGGAACAAAAAAAAATTGGAGAAATCTAACCTATATCTCTGAAAAGTAACTGAACCTAAAAAGAAGAACCTTATGACTCTGTCTTAGAGGATTTCTTCCACTAGCTGACTTCAATCCAATTAAAAAAAAAAAATAAAAAAATTGAGGACTCTAAAGTTTATTTGAATTAAGCTCATTGTCTGATTAGAAGCTCTGACTAAGCAGTTGTAGCAATACTGTGTATTTAAGTGAGAAAGCTTTTTCTTTGGTTGATTAATCAAGGGCGAGTTTCATGGTTCAACTACTCTGCACTGATTTTGCTGTCATCTGCAAAGAGAGGCGATCACAGAAAAGTTTGGTGTTTTTTGTTTCCTTCTAAAGAGCATGCCCACTACATTGTATTGCAATTTTATTTAATTTTTATTCAACCACCATTCATCACTATTTACTCTCAGCTCACACCATGACCAGAGTTAAATTCAAACAGCACATTTTGTGCTAAGTTGCTATGATGCATTGATGAGGTCTTTCTTTTGGAGAAGTGCAACCGTATGGGATCACTTCTATGTTATCTGTCAGCACTTGGGTTTGATTTTAAGGTGTGAGAGGCATTAAAGTTTTCAGAGTAAATTCTCTGATGTAGGCTTCTAGTCTTCATTTTTCATTCCCTCATTTTAATTTCATTTCTCTCCCAACATTTTCTCCAGTGCTCTTAATATAACTGAGTGATAGACTCAACCATTTCTCTTGATGTTCCCCAAACTAAAAGTAGGGATTCCTTACAGTTATTTCTCTTCCACACATTTTATTTTTTTTTTCTATTTGAATGCTGTTTCTTATTGCCACCCATAACATATAAAATGCATAATCCCTTTAAAACTACTTTATTTTAACCCAGCCTCTCTGGCGACCTGAGTTGGCCTGGTTTGGACCAGTTTTTTCAGTTTTAGGTTTCATCTTGTACTGTGGGAGGGGAGGGACTGCAGGGTTTGTTGGAAGAGCAGGAAGTCTGTGTGTGTCTGAGGTGGAAAGGGCAAGGCAGCGGGCCAGGTGAGTTATTTTGGAGGAGCAGATTCTTGACTTATTTCTGGTGCCTAGGTATGATGACCCTGGAAAAAGTCAATGATCACATCCAGCTTTCTTCTCAGGATCCTATCCCAGCCAGTGCTCAGGGTAGAAATGTTCTATGGGTTAATCAGGGTGAGAAGGCCATTATGCAGCCTGGGACCTGTGCTGAGTTGTTACTGGGGAATTTTGAATGAGGCAAGCGATTGCAGTGAAGTGAAGGAAGGTCTGACAATGAAAGCAACTGGATCTTTTTGAGAAACTGGAGTTTGTTCCTACCTAGGACATAGAATGTTATTTTATGCTATCAAATAACTTCAACCTGACTTTTCTCTCTTGTAGAAAAGATTCTTCATTTCCCTGGTGTCTCACATTGCAAAAGTGTTGTCATATTTCAGGAATTGTATTCTCCAATTAAATGTTCCTACTAAAACCATGAGCCACTCACCCCTCATGGACTGAGATGAGAACAGTTTGCTGGAAACAGCAGTGGGATAAGAAAAAAAACATGAACAGCAACCCAAGGAACAAAAGTGTACAAAATGATTCACATGCCAAAATGTTCACCACAGAGCCCATGACCTGACTGCAGCCTCTCCAGCATCCAGAGTGACCTTCCTCTGGAAAGATTCCCTTCCCCACACCCCTGGCAATGGTGTGAGGTGGTATAGAACAACCTCCAGGTCTTGGCTATTCCTGCTCACCTGCAAAAATAAACCCTGCCTGGCCTGGGACAAGTGTTTATAAATCAGAACTAAAATTGTAGTCAATAAATCCATAAACATAAAAAGTGCTATGTAACATTAGGAATGCTGAAAAATCAGTTTCTCTCAAACTTCACATGCAAAATCACTTGATGCTTTTGACCTTAACTCCCTGTGATGCAGACACTCTCTTTAAAATGTATATAATAATGAATACATCCCCTTCATTTTAGAGGGGTGAGAGGTTGGGGAAATAAATTGGTATTTGGGAAGCTGTCACATAACAGAAATGTGTGAATTAAGTTTCCATTTTTAGAACAGTGTTTTAAGAGTGTGCCACTAATAATAGCTGAAACTACACATAAAAAAATGAAGAGGGATAAAAAATGGAGAAGATTTTCATAAATGATTTCCATCTGAGCTGTGCATTGCATGAGGAGTTAAGGGGTTCATTAGCTTTTCATGCTTGTGATCTTATGTCTAAAGAGTACCATAAGCATGAGGACTAAATTTCAATGGCTCACATGTGGTCTCCATATAATTTGCAGTGCAAGCCAATAGTACTTTTACCATTGTTTTATGGGTATGTACATACACAGTCATGCCTATACATATTCACTGACAGATGCAGTTATGAATCATACTCGCCTATCAGTTAATATTTTTTTCAGATTCTAAGACACTGATACATGTTTCAGAGATATCTTGATATTATCAGGCTTTGGCTTTTACTGTATTTGGATGTTCCTATTCATTTTTGGCTTTAATCACACAGTTGGTAGCAGAGTTTCATCTGTAATGTCATTTACATCAATTGTGCAAAATTGTTGTCAAATGACCTTGCTAATATGGCAAATCACATATAAGAGAGGGTATTTAAATGAGATCTAAATGTTTAAATAGCTTAAAATCTTAGGATTAATAACATTCAAAATGTTGACTGTGCTACTTGAGACTTATAACCTTTCTCAAATGGATCTTTAGTTAATTATCTCTAAACCCAGCCTTTTAAAACATTACTCTGAGTCTAGAGATTGATATTTAACTTTTTTTCTATTAATCATATTTAGTTTTAAGATTTGGAAAGGTAGTCCTCTAAGGTTCAGCTGACATTTAGACAATTATGTTGAGACTTAGCATTGATATATTTTGGTTGCTTAACCCTTCTTGTCAGCAGTTTTGCAGTTTATGCAGACCTAGCTGGTGACACTTGCATTTATAGAAGAGTGCACTTATTTTAATAAAACAATTCCTGTCCTTGTAGTTATAGCATTTATGACTATTATCCTAAAAGAAAGCAGTATGAAGCTGTTATCAAACTATAGGAAGCAGTTTCATATATATATTATATATATATATATATATATGTATATATTCATATCCCTGGGGAAAACTGATGCTGATATGTATTAAACTCTAGGCCTTTTATTAAAAAATCATTATATGCTCTTCCCAATTTTAAAAAGGGGAAAAAATCCAACACCACTAAAAACAAAAACAAAAGAAAACAACCCAACCCTAAAATCAAAACCTGATTTTTTCAGTTGTTAAAACTTGATAGGTTTAGAAAACTTGTATAGGTTACTCCATGACTCTGTCTGTTATCAGCTACAGGGAAAAAAATCCTCATGATATGGATTAAGGAAACTGGGGGTATTTAAGCTATAGCAAAGCCTCTGCCATTCTGTTGTTATTACTTCTTCCAGAATTGAAGAGCTCTTATTCTGGCTTCATCCTAACTCACTGCTTCTTAAAAGAACATTTTTTAGGGGTTGGGGGAAGATAATGTCAATTGATATAGCCAAAAGTACGGTACCTGAATTTTGGTATCTCTAATCAAGCTCGTATTTGATTGTAAGGCTGGAGTGTTGCCTGCTGTCAATGTGTCACTGCCATTTAAACAGCAATCCATGTCCCTTCTCTAGTTCCAGGCAGTAGGAGAAATATTTTATGGTTGTGCCATGCACTGGAATTAAACTATCATAATATAAAGCAGAAATAGTAAAATGAAAGTTGTCAATAAATTGGCAATGGACAGAGGGAGAATGAATTGCTTGCTTGGTGTAAATTCTGATTTCAATTCATCAATTTTCCTTTTTTCAATTTTTTTTTTAAGAGATCAGAAATGGATTGAAAAAATGCTTGCTTGCATTTAGAACTGTCTTAAGATTAATTAACATTTTAATACTTCAAAAGTTTTGAAAATAATAACCAGTAGATAACATACAGAACATGTTAATTATCTTTCTAAGATTGCTCACTTTTCCAAACATAGACCTCTGAATTTTTTAATGATGGCATCTGAAGGTCATTTATGAACAATTCATATGACAATTCAGAGCTAATAAACAGCCTGGTGTACAACGAATTACCACCTGCTCCCTTTTTTGCAAGAAAGCATCTTTCATGTCCATGTCACACTACTGTTCATCACATTTCAGACTGATGCCTAGTTTGTGCAGGAGAACCTTAGCAACAGGGTTTGAGAATTAGTATCTAGTTTGTGTTCTGCTCTCAGAAGCTTTTTCCTCAATGCTCCTGATGTCTAACCTGTTTTTTCATAAACATATCTGTAAGTATCATCACCAGCTCCTGTCCTTGTCTAGGGAGGAGGGCAGAACAATCTGTTTTAGTGGTAGTATCCTGTTTTTGGTGGGATAGAGTTAAGTTTCTCCAGGGTAGCAGGTGCAGTGCTGAGTTTTGGATTCAGTGTGAGAATAATGTTGATAACACACTGATGTTTTGGTGCTGAACAGGGTTTGCCCTCAGTCAAGGACTGTTCAGTGTCTCATGCTCTGCCTTTGAGGAGGGGCACAAGAACCTGGGAGGGAGCATGGCCAGGACAGCTGAGCTGAGCTGGCCAAAGGAATGGTCCACACCATAAAAGATCATGTCCAGTATGGGAT